TTATATATATATATACAGTATATATATATATATATATATATATATATATATATATATATATATATATATATATATATATATATCTCTTAACCCAACATCCTGGGAAACGGTCTCTACCGTCAACACTGTAGTTGTACTGTAAACCAAAGTCATCATAGTTTTTCTTTTTTTTGTGCAAGTTTTACCATTGTTTTTTTATATATATATACAGTATATATATATATATATATATATATATATATATACATTATTTTCTTTTCAGATTATTTACTTTTATTTTACTTAATTTTACTTTAGCAAGTGATTGCTTTGTGGCAATATTTATTTTCTTTTGTTTTGTTTTGCTTCAGTTATGTTAGTTTTTATTTTGTTTTAATGTTTTATTTTTTAATGTTTTATTTGATTTTTTTAGTCTCATGTTAGTTTTTTTTTTCATTTAAGTTTTTGTTAAAGGGGTCATATAACGTTGCTAAAAAAAGAACATTATTTTGTGTATTTGATGTAATGAAATGTGTTTATGCAGTTTAAGGTTTAAAAAAACCATTATTTCCCACATACTGTACATTATTGTTTCAATTTTACTTTAGCAAGTGATTGCTTTGTGGCAATATTTATATTTTCTTTTGTTTTGTTTTGCTTCAGTTATGTTTGTTTTAATGTTTTATTTTTTTTATGTTTTATTTGATTTTTTTAGTCTCATGTTAGTTTTTTTTTCATTTAAGTTTTTGTTAAAGGGGTCATATAACGTTGCTAAAAAAAGAACATTATTTTGTGTATTTGGTGTAATGAATTGTGTTTATACGGTTTAAGGTTTAAAAAAAACATTATTTCCCACATACTGTACATTATTGTTTCTCCTCTATGCCCCGCCTTTCTGAAATGCGTCGATTTTCAAAGCTCATCATTCTGAAAAGCGAGGTGTGCTCTGATTGGTCAGCTATCCAGTGCATTGTGATTGGCTGAATACCTCAAGCGTGTGACGGAAATTTTACGCCCCTTATCATACTGTGATGCTGTGTCCCGGCGCGACGAGACACAACCAATAAAACCCATTACAAACGAGGCATTTGTTGCATCCAGTGGGGACATAATTACTGATTATAATGACTTATACTGTCTTTTTACGCATTGCGTTGCATCACGCCGTGTAAACATAAAACCATGTCTGCATTTGTGATGGGAGAAACGACAAACAACAAGCGCTACTCTACACTGCTCAAAACTCGCGTTTGAATCGTCAGTGGCAAATTCTTTAAATATGAAAACATACTTACAGGCTGTAAGTCAGCATTATTTGTCAGCATCATAGACTATAAGAACAGGTCAGCATGCGCGCCGAAGGGGAAACAGGGGAACTGCATTCACCGGAACACCCGCATTGTAAGTTACTCTCCCAGGAAACAGTCCTTGTCCTCCGTAAAATGCGTTGCACACATCTGAATATTTGGTTTGAACTGTTCTGGAACAGTGTTGTAAATAAAACTTAACCACTGATTTCTAGTTGTGTCCTCTTTTGGAAGGCCAAACAAGACACAACCAATAAAACCCATTACAAACGAGGCATTTGTTGCATCCAGTGGGGACATAATTACAGATTATAATGACTCATACTGTCTTTTTAAGCGTTGCGTTGCATATCGCGCCACGTAAACATAAAACCATGTCTGCATTTGTGATGGGAGAAACGACAAACAACAAGCGCTACTCTACACTGCTCAAAACTCGCGTTTGAATCGTCAGTGGCAAATTCTTTAAATATGAAAACATACTTACAGGCTGTAAGTCAGCATTATTTGTCAGCATCATAGACTATAAGAACAGGTCAGCATGTGCGCCGAAGGGGAAACAGGGGAACTGCATTCACCGGAACACCCGCATTGTAAGTTAATCTCCCAGGAAACAGTCCTTGTCCTCCGTAAAATGCGTTGCACACATCTGAATATTTGGTTTGAACTGTTCTGGAACAGTGTTGTAAATAAAACTTAACCACTGACAGTGACGTGGCCGGGGGGGGGGGGGGCGTGTTTAAACGAGGCGTTTTAGGAAGGCGTGGACGAGTCTTAACTTTTATAAAGAATATCTCTTTGGGTTTGAGACTTAGGGATCTTATCTATTCACGAACTGCTTGTAACAGTCCAAAGAGAAAGGAAAACTTGAAATCGCATCATATGACCCCTTTAATGATAACGCAGCTGAATAAGAGCAGATCTAAAAAGTCAAGTCTGAAAGTCTTTTCGTGAAAAGGACAGAAATACTGGTGCCTTTGATGCAATGCAAAATTCACTCGAATGTACCTTCACATGATCGCAGGCTCAGATCTTTTCCTTTTCACGTCCACTTCTGGCCGATTCTGAAAAAAGTCAAGATGGAAGTAAACACCAAAAGATGGAAGTAAACACTAAAAGTCGTAGAAAGCTGTGGAGGAGAAGAGTTTACAAAATACTGAGTGGCGCTGAAGTGAGATGAGAGAGTGTGTCTAAACCTTTTACAAAATGTTTTAAGGTTTAGCATTTGGAGCAGTGGGGAAGAAAAAGTTTCCCAGCGGCTCTATTATCAAGCGTCTGATCTGCACACAGTTCTCAGCCGACCCCATCTTTACATTTGAATCCCAGCACAATCCCAGACGCGGCTGAAACTAGATGATGTTGTTGCTGAGGAGAGTTTATCCATGAAATCGTTGTACCTGTGGCTTGGATTGTGTGTTGTTAACTTCTTCTGAAATCTCTGCTTTCCCTCAGATGTGGTTGTAAAAACTGCTGTATGGGACTTCTTGGCAAAGGAGACAGATAACAGAGATAGGTGACCTAGATGATGACCTTTCTGCTCTGTGTTGTTCCGCCAGCGGTTGTACTGTATCGAATGGACTGACGTGTTTGTGTGACTGGCGAGAACCATAATGGGTTTGGTGGTGGTCATGCTAGATGGACATAACGAGGCTCTCAGAAGCACGCAGAAAGTTGAGGTTGCCAAGCGTTCTCGCTCGGTGTCGGCGGATCGGATGCGCTCTAGTTAGCGGTCGAGCCTCAGCTCTGGGAGGCCGTTTTGGGGGCTGCAGTAGTGCAAACTCTACAGCTGGGGTATAATTTCCCTCCAGCTTTATTACTCTTGGAAGACATAAATTTTTTTTCTCAGGATTTGAGACAGACATGTAGGGTCTCTTGCGGAACACAGAGATTTGATGATTCACATTACATCATTGACCACTCAGACCTCAAAAGCCTGAGGTTTCGCCTTTCAGCGGAGGCTGTTTTGAATCTCCTTTAGGTTTTGAACAATTCCCAGGATGCCGGTCACATCTTTTTTATGCATTATATCACAAAAAGCAGAATGTTTTTTTTTAATAAATGCTTTTAAATACACTGCCAGTCCATAGTTTGGAATGATTATGATTTTTAAACTTTTTTTGAAAGAAGTCTTACATAGTCACCAAGGCAACATTTATTTGATAAAAAAACAAACAAATAAATAAACAGTAATATTTTAAAGTAATATCACAATTTAAAATAACTGTTTTCTATTTGAATATATATTCCTGTATTTAAAACAACAACAAAAAAATTTAATTCAGCAGCCATTACTCTAATCAAATCACATTAATTTAATTTTAAATGGATACTTTTTAATATATGTATTTATCTTATATATGACGTGTATATGTGTGTATTTAAATAAAAATATTATTAATGTAAAATTATTAATTAAAATGTTTTAATTTGTTGTATAATATTTTATAATTAAATGAAATGTTATTTTATTTTTATGTGATATATATATATATATATATATTGCAATTGCAAGTTAAATTATATGTAATTTGATTTTTTAATATGATATATTTTAAATAAAAATTTGTATTATTGCAAGTTAAATTATATGTAATTTGATTTTTTAATATGATATATTTTAAATAAAAAATTTTATTATTTTGTTTTACATATTTACATAAATTACTTATATTAGTATAAATATATACTTATTGTATATATAATTATTTATATATATATAATTTAAACTTTTCCTTTTCAGTCACCTTTTTACGTTTTTTTGTAATTTTTGATTGATTCCCTGGATGCCACTGACATCTTTTATACACATTATATCTCCTGACTTCTTCAGCCTTGCCATCAAGTTCAGCGGTAGTTCGAAGAACCGCAGAGTTGCCTGATACTGGAAAAGTCAAGCGGGACATAGCGATCTCAATGCTGTCTTGCCGTCTCCTCATGGTGATTTCTTGTGTTCTTGTGCCATCTCAGACTTACATGGGTATTCTGAGGCTAGCCAGACTCGAGCTGGCCAATGACATCAGAGATTCCTGGGGGCCAGAGGCCTCATAAATAAGTGCCTTTTTCTCTGGCTCGGAATTGACGGGGGAATAAACTGTGCTGTGGATCCTGTGCTAAACTTCTGTATATGGTGCTTCTCGGCCACCAGGCAGATTCACAGTGACGCTGGAGCTATGCGCTCTTGTCTAAATATTTACCTAGGCTGTTTAGTGATGCACCTACACACTGGAGCCAGCCCATGTCTTCTCTTTCACTCTTTGATGCCGGTTGATCAGTGCATGACAGAATTACCTAACCAATAGTGTACACTTTGCATTTACATTTATGCATTTGGCAGATGATTGTATCCATATATCGGTTCATGCATTTCCTGGGAATTGAACCCATGACCTTGGCATTGGTAGGAACATGCTGTTTACTTTTGCTTGTTCATTGAGTTATGAGTAGTTTATTTGCGTTAATATAACATTACATGATTAGTAATATAGTGATATTTTAACACACTTTTTGCTCTTAAGATTATTTGAAGACTGCATCATTACATTAGTGAGTGATTTTTCATTGCATTTAAATGAGTTATAAATCTAGAAAACAAACACCCAGGTGTCCTACTGACATATAATGTGCCAGGAAAGCAGACTTCCTGAAGCCTTTTCAGTCATTTGTGCATGTCAGTGTATTAACTGCTTGCTTTCTTGTCTGTTTGTTTCACCACAGGCCCCCAGCAATGACCTCCCACTGAAACATATAGAGACAACAGTGAGTATTTCAAACCGTCTTTTACAACTCTATTGACATGTATATGCATGCTTTCTTAACATCGGTATGGCCAGTGCCACATTTTAAATACATGCATTTTATATATATGTGTGTGTGAGTATGTAATATTATATATATATATATATATATATATATATACACACACAAACACACACACACACACACATTGTATATGTATATGCATATATAAATAAATAAATTAAATAAATAAATACACACACACACACACACACACACACATATATATATATATATACACACACACATTTTATTTTAAAATTAATTTGTATTTATATTTGAGAATTGTTTAAATAAAATGTTATATTACATTTATTTTAGAATTTTAATTTTATAGTAAAATAGCAATACAAAACCAAAAAAGATTTACATTATATTAGTTTTAATTTAAAGACATTTGTATTTGTGATTTGTTTATTTTATAATTAAAAAAAATAACAAGAACAATACAAACAAAACGATTAATCGCGATTAATCGCATCCAAAATAAAAGTTTTTGTTTGCATAATATGTGTGTGTTCTGTGTATGTTTATTATGTATATATAAATACACCCACATACAGTATATATTTTGAAAATATTTACATGTATTTACATGTCTATATTTATATTCATATAATTTAGATTATAAATAAATACATTTAATATATAAAAATAACATATTTTTCTGAAATGTATACATGCATGTGTGTGTATTTATATATACATAATAAATATACACAGTACACATACATATATTATGTAAACAACAACTTTTATTTTGGATGCGATTAATCGCGATTAATCGTTTGACAGCACTAGATTTTTGTTGTTGTTTTTTTTTGGGAATTTATATTATAAATACATATATTTAATATATAAAATAGCATATTTTTCTGAAATATATACATGCATGTGTGTGTCTTTATAGATACACAATAAATATACACAGTACACACACGTATATTATGCAGAAAAAAAACTTTAATTTTAGATGCGATTAATCGCAATTTGACAGCACTAATACATATGTATAGAAATGTACACTTTAACTGTTCACTTTAAATGTTCATTTTAACACTTATAATAGTTTTAATTTAAAAAGATACATTTCATTTTTATGCATGTTGTATTTTTGTAATATTTTACTAAATATTTTATAATTATGTATTAATATATATATATATATATACATGTATGTATGTATGTATGTATGTATGTATGTATATATATATATATGTATATTATTAGTATTTATTTATCTAGTATTTATAGATAGAATTTTAAGAAATTAAATTGCTAGCTTTTCCTTTTCAGTCACCATCTTAACAGCGAACATTGACAAGCTTGTTGGGTCAGTGTGAACATGACGGTTATGTTTCCAACGTTCTAAGTACAACAGCCAAATCCTGAATGTTTGAAGTGCTGGCGTTTGTTGGGTCAGTGTGAACACAGTGTAAAGTCATTACTGACATTGCTGCAGAAATAACGGCTTGAAGATATAAATATTTAGGTCTTTAGCGAACACTGTTGCTATGCAGCTTCTGTAGTCTAAACTTCACCAGTCTAAACCTCACGGAGTGCTGAAGCTCAAATTATTGGTTGGATTAGCTAAACACAGCCTCACTGGGGCTAGAATGACCGCCCAGTGAATGTGCTTTAAAGGGACAGTACGCTTAAAAAGTAAATTCAGTCATTATTTACTCGCCCTCAAGTTGTTCCAAACCTGTATGAGTTTCTTCCTCTGCTGAACATAAAAGAAGCTATTTTGAAGAATGTTGATCATCAAACAGTTGACAGTAGCCATTGACTTCCATAGATTGGGAAAAAAAAAACACTGTGGAAGTCAATGACTGTTTGGTTACCTGCATTCTTCCAAATATCTTCTTCTGTGTTCAACAGAAGAAAGGTTTTCAACAACATGAGGGTGAATAAACGATGACAGAATGTTCATTTTTGGGTGAACTGTCACTTTAACTGATTAGCAGAGGAAGAGATGTCGTAGCTCAAGCATGTGTGTTCAGTCCCTCTCAGAAGCCCCTCCGTCCACCCCGTTCCTCACCCCCCTCATGCCTGGGTGAAGATCACTCACACCAGACGCAGCTGTGGATGACTAACTGCCTTGATCCAAATAAAATTCAGACTTTCGTTTGGAGCCATCCATATGAGCATGAGTATGTTCAGAGATTTAGGGACAGAGAAACAGACTCTTATAATCCCTCTGAAACATCATTTGATCTATTTATTGATACAATATTGAGCTGGAGTCGGACTCGTAACCCAAAGGTTGCGGGTTCGAGTCTCGTACCGGCAGGGATTGTAGGTGGGGGGAGTGAATGTACAGCGCTCTCTCCCACCTTCAATACCACGACTGAGGTGAGACCCTTGAGCAAGGCACCGAACCCCCAACTGCTCCCCGGGCGCCGCAGCATAAACATGGCTGCCCACTGCTCCGGGTGTGTGTTCATGGTGTGTGTGTGTTCACTGCTGTGTGTGTGCACTTTGGATGGGATAAATGCAGAGCACTAATTTCAAGTATGGGTCACCATACTTGGCCACATGTCACGTCACTTTTCACTTTTTTTGTTGCAAGTGACTGGTTGCAGATATTTTTCTCCCCTCAGCCAAGCCTTGGTTGTTGTTGTTAACTGAAACAAAAACAGTTAAATAAATCAGTTTTATTTTTGAATTTTATTTCAGCTAAGTGCCAAAGCATTTAGTTTTAGTATTACAATAACTGAAACTAAACAAAGTAAAACTTAAGTATAACTATGTATAAAAATAAATAAAAATGACAAAACACACAAAAGAGCTTAAAACAGAAATCGAAAATATAAAAGTGAAATCTAATTCAAAATAACAAAAACTATATAATACACCAGTGATACTAAAATTACACTGGGACAAGCAAAGCAACACTCTTAATAATTAGTATATTGTTAATTATTAATTATCAATATTATTATTTTTATTTGTAATATTTATAATTTATAATTCATTATTAATTTACTTAATTAATAATGAATTATAAATGATAAATATTACAAATAAAAATAATGATATTATATGTAATTTATTGTGAATTCATATAATTATTAAAATATTAAATATATAAAATGTACATTATTTAGAGTTGTAATGGTGTGTTAACAAAACAGGTGTGGTATATTATTTCACTTATTCTTGGTAGCTGAATGTAACACATTAGTCTACATTTTTTTTATTAAATGAAAAACGTAAGGGGTTTGGGATGCGTTAAAGTGTGAATGACTGCCGTTTGAATTCTGCGGTAATCGGTGAATTTTCTACATGCGTATGTTCTGTGTGGGACTGGCTGTGACTTTGTGATTTTCTACTATATATGCGAGTAGGAACTTTGTGTAATGTCCTCTTTAAATTGAGTTTGTCACGGTCAAAACGCATCATCCATGCAGCTTATTCAGTGTAATGATTCACTTACAGATCAGCATAAAATATTTGCCAGAATTCTGGATCTTACTTCGCTTGAGAAAGGAAGTATCATTTTCCAAACAGGATTTTGAACAGACAGTCATTTAAAAAAAAAAAAAAAAAAAAAGAGAGAGAGAGATTTTTTTTTTTTTAATTGTAGATTCAAGTAGTCAAATCTGTGACTATTGCATTACATTTTGCTATTTTGAATGACATGTGCATAGTATTTTAAGATGATTACACATCAAGTAAAGTTTGTAAAAATATTTTCCCTGGACATTTGCAATACAATTGCAAAAACGTGTGTTGTGTATAAACCCCTAATCCTCTCCATACACTGCTGATTGTTGTTGCCGTTTCGGACTGGAAGTCATTTTGGGTGGTTAATTAACATGCCATGTACAAATTGGTCTCCCTCTCTAATCAATTGGACAGAAATGTGCCACCCAAAACACTGTTTTAGAAACCTGCCCAGTTTTAGAAACCTTTTAGTTGCTGAATTGAAATCACAGCCAGTTTCTCCCTCATGAGACTTAACCAAGCAACCTTAAACACAACGTGATTGTGTTCTAGGTCCCCTTTGCATTTTTTATTATTTCAGATTGATTTCTATAGGCTCCTGATGCCAAACCATTGGATATTGCGGTGAATTAAAATATCTTGTTAGCCATTCATCATGCTACGTTATTCTTGGCATTTTGCATTTCTGTAAATAATGTGAAATATAGCTCTCTAGATGTTTAGAGCAATGCGTGTTTGCAGCTGTGTCGGGCAGTATTACTCATTCTTGAGGCATCATGGGAGATGTGCACCACCCTCACCTCTAGGGTATCTCTTAGTTGTGGTTCTGCGGACGTCTTTGATTCACAATAACAAACCCTTTGAATCTCAGTTTGTCATATGACTTCCTGTGGCGTGCTTTTTCGTTTTAGTTCAGAGCTTATTTTTCAAACAGAGTTTGATAACATGTTTGTCTTTTTCTCTCATTTCTCATTTAGACCGTAATTCTCCTTCTGAAGCAGTGACTGTGATAGAGATATTTTGAAAGTGTCTCTGGTTTGAGTATAGCCATTGGACTTATTATTCGTTCTGGCTCTGATTTAGATGAGTCATATTATGAGGAATCACATTTTCCTCATCTTTTGAGATAAAGAGTTCATTGTACTGTGAAAGCATACTGTAATGCTGAGAACTCAAAACTTTCTTCCTAGTACAAAAAGAGCATTTATTGAAGAAAAATGTGCAAAAATTGTTTCTGAACTTCTACAACATTATGACGTCAAAACGATTATCGCATTAGCATACAACTTCCCACATTTACACGTCAACAGCGCTTATTCAGGTTTCACAATTTGGTTCATCCAGCCACGGCAGACAATATAGAGGAAGTTGGACAGATTATTTTATTTATAAACAATAGAACTCGCAAGAGTAAAGAAAGGATTCATAAAATTCTGTTTTTGATGTTTGTTCTCAACATTTTATATATATATATATATATATATATATATATATATATTTCTATGCAATGA